ATTTTGGGGTAATGTCACAACGTTGCACCGCTTTGTTTCCTTCTGCAAACAGACACGTGAGCAGCAGTGACCGCGTTGGGAAACCGTACCGGGGCGTGAAGCCGGTCTTTAGCATTGGCGACGAAGAGGAGTACGACACAGGTAAAGGCTGAATCCGATATTGATATCTGTATCGGTTCTGATATTGGAAAAAAAAAATCTAGATTGGATATCAGCGACACGTCTTGCTTCATTATATATAGAATTCCTAATTGCACTTGCTGAACTATTTGAGGTTTGTTGCAGTTTATTTTTTATCTATTTGACCAACACAGTGAACCTGTTGTTTTTGTCAGTTTAGTATTAATTTTGCTGTTATTCTCCTAATTGCACTGACTGAGCAAATGAAAGTTGATTTTATACATTTAACGATGTATTTAAATGTGCTCTAATGCTGCAGAGTTATCAAATAAATGTGTGCTTCAATACATTTATATATGTGTTTTTAAAAAAAATAAACATTTTAAGTGAATTCAGCTGAAATGAGCATCACGTTTTTCCTCCCAGATGAGATCGACAGCTCCTCAATGTCAGACGACGACCGAAAGGAGATTGTGAACATTCAGACGTGGATCAACAAGCCCGACATTAAACACCACATTCCCTGTAATGAAGTTAAAGAAACCGGTCACATGTTTCCCAGGTGACTTAGTCTTTTTTTTTTTTTTTTTTTTTTGTGTTCATAAACGACTTCAAACACATCAGAATAAATAAAAAAAAAGAAACAAGGAAATGAGAAAACGGGCTTCTTGAACTCTGACTCAGTGTGTTTTCGTGTGTCTTCCAGTCACTTATTGATCACAGCGACCCACATGTACTGCCTCAGGGAGATTGCCTCAAGGAAAGGATTTGCTTACATCCAGTCCAGACAGGCGCTGAGCTCCGTGGTGAAGATCACATCCAAAAAGAAGCACCCAGAACTTATCACCTTCAAATTCGGGACCAACAATTCAGCTGGAGTGGAAATATCTGCAGTTGAGAGGTGATCATGTGTGGAGAAACGCATCTCTTTTAAGTTTTAATTTTGACAGCTTACTGAGACAAGATACAAGTTGCATTATGAAAACGCACAAAAAAAAAGTTCTTATGTCCGTCTTTTAACAGTGTCTTTACTCATAGAAACTGAGGTTGTCGATGATGTGCAAGACTCTGTCTGCAGTCAGTCTCTGCAGTTCATTCAGTTTTGAAATGTTGAAAGCCTGAGATCTTTTTTGTAGGTTTAAATCGATTAATCATAATGAATCGGTTATTGAAATAATTGTCAGCTAATTTAGTTATTGATTAATCATAAACTGGCAATAGAGACTCAAAACGACAAAATGCTGACAGAACAACATACTCGGAGCAAAAAAAAATCTTAGATTTAAATAAAAGAACTCATCAAATTGTGCCAATTTTCTTTTATCCAATTGTGGAGATAAATGATAGATTAATCAATTACTAAAATAGTTGTTAGTTTCAGCCCTATTAATATTATTGCGTAAATTGGGTTGAATACAAATTTAAGGCCCACTTTTCAGATATTTTTATTTCTTAATGTTTAAAACTGTCTCACTTTTCTTCTGCTTTAATATTTGTTTGTTGAGTCTGTTGGACAAACGTCCGATGAAATGCATTGAAGTTTGTGTTACAAATCTGAAGTTTATTAAAATTTCTGACTTTAACAACAACAAAAAATCGATTCCTTTCTCGCTTTTTTTTTTGAAGAAATTATGAATGACAAAAAATATTTTGGAAAATAGTTTTTATTTCAATCATCCTGTATGCGAGTTGACCTGAATTCAAAGTCCAAATAAATAGAAGCTGTAAAACATGCTCGTCAAACAAGATGGCGGCCCTGGGCCCTGACATCACTCTGAACTGAGAAGACAGGAATGGAAAAAAAAAATAAATAAAAAAATTAAGATTTTTCCAAAAATTTTCAAAAACAGAAAATTTGATGAAATTCAAAATTGAGAAAGCATATTTGGAAAACTTTTAATCACTCCTATCAGATAAAATAATTTGTTTTTTTTGTTTTCATGAAGCTAATCAAATATTTTCATTCTTCCTCTCCCAGATATTTGATACCAAATGCAGGCGACGCCACAAAAGTCATCAAGCAGCAGATCATGAAAGTATTAGACGCTCTGGAGAGCTCGTAAGCGGAGGCGGCGGAGTCGTCAGGGGGGAGCCTGCGGTCGCAGCAGCAGGTGACACAAACTGTGAGAAGACTCGTCTCCTCCCCCGTTCCTGGGCGTCCTCCCTCCTGGACAAATCCCAGTGCAGTGTTTGACTCCGACGACCCCTGCCCCCCTCCTCCCGTGTCTCCCATTCCTGGGACGTTTTGGGACGCGCCGCCAACAGCAGGCCTGCGGGTCAGTGCTGCCCGTGTCCGAATAACTTAGGTGCTCCGCAGTCATCCAACCACTTTCCTGTGACTAATTTAAGAAAAATCGGTTATGTCATGTGTTCTTCCTTTTACAGTGCAGTTTGGCTTTGATGTTGGTTGCTCTGGCCTTAACGTAGCATACTGGCCACCCAGTGGCGAATCTATAAAGCCCATGCATAACTGACCCTTTGACTTGTCTTTTAGTTTTCTTGTGATCTTTCTTTACGTAAATTTATTATTCATCATTTTTAGTACGTGTCAGCTAAGCTGCATGTTGGCGACGCTGGCCAATGATTCCTGCTTCTTTTTTTTCTTTTTCTGATAACGTTTCTCCTTTTCCATCAGGTAGCCTTAAACAGAAGTTATTTGAAGGTGTTTATAAATATCTAATGTATAATCTGTGTGAACTGCTCTGTCGAAACAGAAATGTCATTATGAAAGCACATCCTGATGGAGAGAATACAGGAAACTGTGGAGGTTTGAAACATCCCTTGTTCCTACAGTAAACTGTTTGCCTTTGAGTATTTCTGTGGGCCAATTTATTCTCATTTATCCTCTTTAGCATTTGTCTCTAAGCAGTTTGTAGCTCAAGAAGCCCCACCCAAGAGCTACGCTAGGATCACTCCAGGAGGTTCGGTGATGGTAGTCGACGAAAGTCGGAGAAACTCGCCCTCATTCAGTTTATTATGCGTTTCTCTTTGTTTGCCTCCTTGACTCACATAGGAAGTGTTTTGCTCCAAATAGGAATGAAATATTAGCTGACTGGTTATGATTCCAGACTGGTTTGGTGTTTTTGGTTGTACTGATCCAAACTGAGCAGCTTCAGTCGGCCTCATGGCTGTGATGTCGTTTTTGGGCACCAGCAGTGGCGGCTGAGTTCATCAACATGCAGTTTATGTTCTCGTATTCCTACATTTGCTTTTCCTTACCGACGCATTTTTGCTTTAAGGTTACCTGTGCAGGCAGCATGGGGATCTGCTTAAGTGGAAATTTCAGTTTCCACAAGCACTCTGTAAATTGTATTTATTTCTAATCCGTATAAAAACTAAATAATCTTTTGAGAAATGCTAAGGAAAAGAAAGCAAAACTTGAAACAGAAGGTCTTAATCGGGTTTGTCTTTTGGTCCGATCCATTCTTGTCGCCCCGTTTGCTGTGTTGTCGGTATTCTCTCTGACTAGAACATCCTCGACCGGGATGGAGTCTTTACGTCACTCTGTAGCATCAGACAGAACGCCGACCACTATATTGAAATGAAACAAGTATAATTTACTTTGCACCTTACTGTACTGCTATTGTTTTCTAAACATTTCTGTTTTTAATAAATGGAGATTATTGGACCGCACATGTAGACATGTTTATTAAAAAAAAGTTCCATGTACTAAACTAAATGTGTGTGTGTGTAGTGAGAAATAATACAATGCATTATAAACTATTTAAAGGTCACACACTCCCACAATGGGAAACACTTTCTACTAGTTGAAAACATTCAAAATGGCCGTCAGCCTATCAGCTTTAGACGTCATATGGACTTAGGTTTTATCACATTATTTTGTTGCCCCATAAACAAATACTGCTCTTGATTACCGTTTTCATTTGTAATGCATTGCTTTAGGATCGGTCTCATTAAGTAGTGTGATTTGTATCTATAAACTGCACACAATAACTCTGTTCTTGTATTTATTGATGCTTTTATTGAACAAGCAGTGGAGAAAATAGTAAAACTATCCATCCCAACAATAAGGAAAGTTTTGGGGGATTATAAACATCACTGATTGGAATTTATCGTAACAACGATAAATAAAATTCTTATGAGAAATTTATCATAATAAATGATAAACTTTAAGATAAATTACTGCCCCTAATCCTAACAAGGCGGTTAGTTGATGCAATGCTAAGATGTTACATCAGGTTCAACCTCAGCATCTGGTTGTTACAGTTCATAACTGACAAATTATATATATATATATAAAGTTTTATCTAACAAGCACTTTGGTAACACTTTGGTAATGTTATTTGTAAAGATGAGACTGAGGTAAAGATCTCCTTTACCTCCTGACAATAATACACAATGTGTTTCGAGAAACGTCAAAGTAGCTTAACAGCAATTGTCAAGCAGGGCGGCGGAAGAGTCATGATGCGGTCTTATAAAATGCTGGATTTTATTAGTTTGAGCAGAGAAATGTCAGCAGGCTCAGTCTGTGATCCTTAGAGGGGCAGATCATACTGAAGCAGTTTTGCACCACCTGGATCTAGTTATAAATGTCTGAAAACAGCAACAGTGTTAATCTTTTTCAAATATATTACTGTTTTGTTCAAATTGATTACCAATGAGCAGTTAAACTTTGGACTAAACTCTGGTTGGACACCAGTTAACTACCCACTGTGACAAGAACCTCAGCTTTTTCACAATAAAAGACCACGGTTTAAGGTCAGTACAAGAGTTTCCTGAATTTATCTCAAATAGCTAATTTGTGTGCTGTTTTTTAATATAAATTTTTTATCCAACAAACACGCAACGTACACATAATTATATAATAATACAGTTAATGAATTTCTTGATTGTTGTTGAAATGGAAAAAAAATATATACTCTTATTTTGAAAAGCAAACATCCACCCGGAAGTACTCAGCACCCTGCTTTGCTGGGGCTGAGCCGAGTTCTGCACATATGAACGCTGTGACGAGAGTAATGTCGAGTAAGTATGAAAGTATTTGTGTAGTTACCATTTTTTAACGTTATTCGTAGTTTAAATTTAGCTGTCATTTGATAAATAAAAAATAATAATAAAAAAAAACCCTCAGTAGTTTGTAACTCATGCCGTGTTGTAAAGTCTCCGTGCTGACCGGCTTCTGTTGTTCCAGAGTTCCGCCTGGCTGTGGTCCAGCTGCAGGTGAGCAGCGACAAAGCGAACAACCTGAGCAAAGTGCGGAGGCTGGTGAAGGAGGCAGCGGGACAGGGCGGCAAAGTGGTGCTGCTGCCGGTGAGGAGCTTATTTTTTAATATTATTATTTACTGTATTCAGTGACCTTTAGGTTTCTTATCACTCTCTTATTGAGAGTATAAGGAGTAACAAAATGTGGAAATTTTTTTAAAAGGGTCTGAATGTTTTTTAAGGCACTCTCTGACAGTTTTCCTCCTCACCCCGATTCAGGAATGCTTCAACTCTCCGTACGGAACGAGCTTCTTCTCCAAGTATGCTGAGAAGATCCCAGGAGAAACCACCCAGATGCTGTCAGAGGTGGCGAAGGAGAACAAGCTGCATCTGGTGGGAGGTATGGACTCATGCGACGCCATGGTCACCCACATTAAACCTTCACATTTGAAAAGAAAGTTGCCTTTTAGGTGTTAATTTATAACCTCGTCTCCAAAAAGCAGTTGATGTCTTGTTAGAAATTGCAGCTGAATGAGCTGCAGTTTATGAGAACCAATATCGCAAATTGACATGCACTCACGCCCTGTGTCTGTTTATTCTCAGCAACCTGGTTAAGATAGATTTACAAATTATTTTTTCACCCAAAGAAATTCTGAAAATATAGAAATATTCAGCCCCTTTATAATCCGATTCACCTGGATACAACCCAATGCATCTAAATACCTTCAGAAGTCACCTACTTTGTAAAAAAAAAAAAAATAGGGAGAAAAAATTGGTTAGTATCTGCAATAGTGTATCAGGAAAACAAATAGTGAACACAGAAATTGGTCTTCTAGATGCATTTGAAATAAAACCACCACATTATATTAATATAATGCATAAAATAAAGAGCAAAGTTCTCTTATGGTGTAACAAATTTATAATTGGACATAGTGGAAATAAGTTCATATGTTTTCTCAAGAAGCTAAATAAATTATTCTACACTTAGGGCAAAGTATGCTGCCATCTAGAGGATGTTTTATGTATAATCCAAATTGAAGAGGGAAATAGTATTTTATGGAAATACGTTTTCTCTGTTTTTTTAATTAACTTCCACTTCCAGAAAATATTGAATAATACAGATAAGAAGATTGCAGCTGATCATAATTTTGAAAACTTTTTCTCAGAGTTGGTCAAAACATCTCTGATCATCATCACATTTGAGTCGCTGATAAAATAGAAAAGAAACCAGATGAACTGGATAACCTGGATCTGCTGGGTCAGTGGAGAGACTGTGGGAAAAACGAATGCAAATTAACAAACAATTAGCAAAGAATTCAACCATATTCCGTGTTCATATGAATGAATGACTGAAGCTTCCTTGTTGTTGTTGAACAGGCTCGATCCCTGAAGAGGACGGCGGGAAGCTGTACAACACCTGTGCCGTGTTCGGTCCTGAAGGAGAGCTGATTCTCAAACACCGGAAGGTTTGCGTGTTTCTCACCTGCTCAGGTCCCCTTCACGGACGGAGCCGTGCCCCAGCGCCCGCTGCGTTCGTATAAACCCCGCTCCCCCTCTCTGCTCTCTCTCCCAAAAGATTCACCTGTTCGACATCGACGTTCCAGGGAAAATCCGCTTCCAGGAGTCCGAGACGCTGAGCCCTGGGAACAGCCTGTCCACGTTCGACACGCGTGAGTGGCAGACGGGGACGGCTGTCTTTGTGCACCTGGAGCTTTTCCACATTTATCACCGTTAGAATCGCACAATTTAATGTATCTTACTTGAACTTAAGAAACAACCCCCTTTCTTTTTCATATTTTTCTACAAGTAAAAATATGAAGAATATCTACTTCATTGGTCTGCGACCTGCGGCTCCAGAGCCACAAGTGGCTCTTTGGACCTTCCATAATTTCCCTTAATAACTCTGACTGAAAATGATAAAGAATTAACTGGGGGAGCTACGATACATCGGCCCTGATTTCTTTAATTTTGGGAAGCTTGGTGATCGGCCGATAATTACATGTGACGCTGATCTCATCTACCTCAGCAAAGGTCTAAAAATCAACCTCAGTCTTCCTCTGCTGTCCAGTGGGAGACGTTTGGCTGACAGTCCGGCCCACCAGGTCACGTCTGCAGTTAACAATCATCTCCTACCTGTTGCCAACTCAGCAACTTTCTTGCCATATTTATCAATATTTCAGACAAAAATATCTGTATCGGCCAAAATCGAAAACAGCAGGTCAGGATTTTTAAAGGCAGTTGGCTAGAAAACTGCAGTGGGTGCATCTCTAGAATTAACTAATGATTTAAATATACATTTAGTAACAAATACTTTCTTTATGGGCTTTTATTATGTGATAAATTGATTTTCCACAACACAGTGACACTAAAAATACAAGTGATTTTGTTTTAGATCTTTTTTTGTAATTAATTCGGAAACGATGTTTTTCTTTTTTTTTCCATTTTCCATCTGTCACCATTCTGCATAAAGACGCGTATCCATGCTCTTTTCATTTTCTTTATTTTAAAACCTAAAAGCAGATGGAACTAACAAGCATTCCCATCTCTAGGGTTGCTCTTTCACATAGAATACAACAAAATCTGAAACATAAGTAAATGAATCTTGTTTTGTTCAGATTTTCTTCCCGTGTTCTCTTGGCTGTGGCAGCGTTCTGTAGGGTGGGAGTCGGGATCTGCTACGACATGAGGTTCGCGGAGCTCGCTCAGCTCTACAACAGGAAAGGTGAGCGACTGAAAACGACCCATTTGGACTGCCTGATAGAACGACTGAAGAACTTGTTCTGTGCTCAGGCTGCCAGCTGCTGGTTTACCCCGGAGCCTTCAACATGACGACAGGCCCCGCCCACTGGGAGCTGCTGCAGAGGGCCAGGTGAGACTGGAGCCCGCCTGCAAGTTTGCATTGGCCGTCGAGATCCACCGCCGCATTTAATAATCCAGTCAAGATTCCTTCGCGTCATCTTCCCGTGTGTGACGCAGGGCCCTCGATAACCAGACGTACGTGGCCACAGCGTCGCCTGCCAGAGACGAAGCCGCGTCCTACGTGGCCTGGGGTCACAGCACCGTGGTGAACCCGTGGTAAGACTGCAGGAGCACGGACAGACGGGCGGCAGCGGGAACGACCGCCTATTCTGAGTTTATCTTTATCCTTAAAAAAACAAAACAACAAAATCATTACCGTGTAATTCAGTTAGATGTGACGAGGCTGAAGGTTAAAGTTTTGAGAACACCTGTGCTCTTATAAACTGAGGCTAAAGCTGTTTTAGTAATCGATTAATCAGTCTACTCTACTGAATCGTGTAAACAAAATGGCACGCTGTGAGGGTTTTTCATTTAACCACTAAAGCCTAATTTGTA